TCAAAAGCCGGCGCGAGCCTCTCAGTTTACTCACATCTCCAGAGCAGCCGCGGCAGCAGAACACGACACACACGTAAACACCGCGGCTTCTAACGTAAACCGGACTTAATTAACGCATAACCGTGCGTTTACGACATATAAAAACATGCGTTTTTTAAAAGTGTTCCAGAAAGATCGGTTTGTTTCGTGACGCGTTGCTTGGTTTTATTTTTGTTTTGTTTGTTGTTGTTTTTTTGTTTGTTTTTTACTTTTTTATATATAAAAAATTTTAGGGAAACAATTGGAATTATTCCCTCCAGTCGTTTAAAGGTAAGATGTGTTTACGATGTTTTAAAGTTGAGTTTAAATTTAAAAAATGCGTCACGGTGAATGTAGGACATTAGAAAAGCTCGGATCCCGTTACATTGGTTTATATTGTTTGTTGTTGTTATTGTTAATATTATTGTTGTTACCGTGAACCGACTGTTGTTCTGTCTACAGTTTTCATAATCATACAAATGTTCGCGGTGTTTAATTTACGGCCTCGCCGAGTCTGAAGTCTCTCAGTTCAACTCGGAGTTTTTTTAACGTCGTCCTTTCATTTAAAAGAGTTTTTTTTATTTTCTTAGCGTAAAAAAGGCTGAAAACGTTCATGGGAAAAATAAAATGTTTTTCTCCGTGTTCGTATATTTATTTCTGTCAGTGAATTCTTTGACGTCAGTGTTTCGATCACACTGATATCGAGTAGTAAATAGTTTTAAATAATGTGTAATAAACATCGAAGTTGGTTGGAAATATTTTTTATAATTATTTATTTTTGATTTATAGAAAGCCGTTAAAAATCGCCGTTTTGTTTCTCACGTATCGAAAGTAATGCATTAAATGAAATTATATTTACTCAGAAAAACTGTTCCGTTTTTAAAATGACGTTCATCTGTTACGAAGCATTTTTTATTTACCAACATTTTACTGTAGGTTTTTTTTCCACCGTCTACAAATAACCGCAGTTTGACGAAGTAATAAAAATGTTATTAATGTTTATAAAACCCCGTACACGCATTATGTCGTTATCATTTTAAAATTATTAATTATTTTATATAATAATTTACACCTTTAAATAATCCAACAAAGATAAATACCGTAAATGTCATTTTGAAGTTGTGTTTATTAATTTCTCATTTCAACTGTAGGAAAATGACGTAGCGCTAACGGACAGAAACATCACGGACATCAGTTTGGTGCAGAATAATTAACTACTTTTCCTTTAATTAAAATACATTTTAATTACAAATACGGGCTGTTAAAAATTACCAAGTGTGTAAAAAATTGTAATATTTGTAGTTGTACTACAGTAACTAATTACAAACACGGTAATATTTGTAGTTGTACTACAGTAACAAGTATTAAATCAGTTTTAATAAATATGTTTTGGAAGTTTTTTTATTTGAATTGAATTTTTTAAATTATCATTTAAGTTCATCATAAAAACAGTTTGATTATATAATTTAAAATGACAATTCAAAGACGTAATAACTAGTGTAATACATGACAATGATAATGTAAATAATATTATAAGGTATTTTTAAACTAATATTACATTTACATTTTAAACAAACGGAGCGTCCGACTGACACATGTTGATTCTTCTTCCTTTTTTCTCCCGTCGTGTTTTTTCTGTTTCACTCAGGTCCATCCACAGTTGTTTTCTTCAGTTATGGACAAATCTCTTCTTTCGTCTTCTAATGACATCATCATGAGCAGTTCAACAGGCTCCTACCAGCCAGAACCCCTGACTCCACCCAGACCCAGCCACCACCACTCTTCGTCTTCGTCTTCTCCCAGCTCCTCGTCCTCGCCCCTCAAGCCCAACCAGGTCAGCCAGGTCGTCCTGTACGGCGTTCCCATCGTGTCCCTGGTCATTGACGACAGAGAGAGACTCTGTTTGGCGCAGATCTCCAACACGCTGCTGAAGAACTACAGTTACAATGAGATACACAACCGCCGGGTGGCGCTGGGCATCACCTGCGTCCAGTGCACCCCCGTCCAGCTGGAGATCCTCCGCCGGGCCGGCGCCATGCCCATCTCGTCACGCCGCTGCGGCATGATCACCAAACGTGAGGCGGAGCGTCTGTGTAAGTCCTTCCTGGGTGAGAACGCGCCCCCGAAACTGCCCGACAACTTCGCCTTCGATGTGACGCACGAGTGTGCGTGGGGCTGTCGGGGCAACTTCATCCCTGCGCGCTACAACAGCTCCAGGGCCAAATGCATCAAGTGCTCCTTCTGCAACATGTACTTCTCCCCAAACAAGTTCATCTTCCATTCCCACCGCACCCCCGACGCCAAGTACACCCAGCCCGACGCCGCCAACTTTAACTCCTGGCGCCGACACCTCAGACTCACAGACAAACACCCGGCCGACGAGCTGGTCTTCGCCTGGGAAGACGTCAAGGCCATGTTTAACGGAGGCAGCCGTAAGAGGGCGCTGCCCTCCTCCGCCCAGTGTTCTTCTCTGGGGTCTCTGAAGTCTCTGCCGGGGTCAGTGGTGCCCCACATGATGGGGCCCGACCTGGGTGCTCAGAAGAGAGCCCGGTTCGAGGACGACGATGACCTGGACGGAGGAGATCTGTCTCCGCGTAAAATTCCTCGCAGCTACCCTGTCATTCCTGTCCCCAGTAAAAGCTTCGGCATGCTGCAGAAGTTCCCCCCCACCTCCCTCTTCCCTTCCCCGTACCCTTTCCCAGCATTCGGCCTCTGCCAGCAGAAGAAAGAGGACAGCGACGTCGGCGCCGGGCAGAAAGGCCCGGGCCTGTCCGGCCTCCTGTGGCCCGCCAGGAAAGACACTTTCTACCCTCCTTTCTGTATGTTCTGGCCTCCCAGAGCAGCGGGGGGGATACCTGTGCCCACCTACCTCCAGCCCCAGCCCAGCACTCTCTCCTCATTGGCCGAAAACCCTTCTCTCAGACAGGCCTTCCTGGACCTCTCGGACTCCGGGGAGCCCGGTGCCGTCGCCGGCAGTGGAAACGCAGTTGGATCCAGCGTGGCCTCAGGCAGCGGGACCGCGACCCAGAGACCGGGACTGTTTGACCCGGACTGCCCCGCGGCCACCCCTGACCTCCGACCTGCCACGTCAGAGGGCTGGCTCAAGCTCATGGACGCCCCCGCCATCCAAATGAGGAAGACCAGCTACGGCTCGGCTTTTCGCCCAGTGGTCAAAGACGCCGAGAGCATCGCCAAACTCCACGGTGGAGAGGTCATCGGGTCGACGGACGAAGACTTCGGGGTCATGGTCGCCGGGTCGGAGCGCCACCAGCGGCTGTCGCCCACGAGCAGCTGCAGTTATGGAAGTGAGAGCGTCGGGGAAGGAGAGGCGGAGGCAGCGGACAGCGAGGAGGAGGGGGAGGTGGACGTGGAGTCGTCCAAGCAGGACGAGGAGGAGGAGGAAAGGAGTTTCACCGTCAGACCATCACAGACTCAGAACAACCTTTACCTCCCCGCGCTGAGCAGCGGCGCCGCAGAGGAGCGGGGGAAGGAGAGAGGGTGTGGTGTGGCGTACCCCAGCAGCTCCCCTCCCTCCTCCTCCTCGGACCCCGTCCAGCGGGAGTCCCCCAGCCTGCCTGCCTCCCCTCCGGCCAGCCTGCCGCTCTCCGGCTCCAACCCGCCTCACCGAGAGGAGCCGGCTTACAAAAACGTAAATATCCCCCCCAGGCCACTTGAGCTAATTATTATTTAAATGGCGCTGCAGTCAGGCAGCGATGTGATCTGCATAAGCAGCTTGATTGGCTGGTTTCCTCCCTGTAGAAATGGAAACTGTCGCCCCACTCTGATCCCATCTAATAGCCCCCGACGTGGGTTGTTTAATAGCCACAATGTGTTTGTTCTCCCCCTGTCACCCCGGCCTGTTAGGGCAACTCTAATCTTTAACCTGTCGACTCCCACATTAACCAGGCCTGCTGTGGTTTTATAGCCACAAAAATATAAATGAAACATGTGAAATGTTCACTGTAAAAACGACTGAAGGTTGAAATCCCTTCAGCTGCTCCTGGATCAACATGAAGATGTTCATGTTCTCCTTCAGGTTCACAACAAACTGACGCTGTGTTTGGTTCCCAGGTCCACAAGAACAGAGACGAGGGACTTCCTGCGTACGCCACCAAGGACAGCGCCAACGTTTCTGGTGAGTTCACATGGAACTGGTGTCAAAATATAAATGAATGTTAGTGGATGAACTAAGATGAAAAAAAAAATCTTATTAAATGATGATTTTATGATTATAGTTTAGATAAAAAATCTTTATCTAGATTTAGTTTTTGAGGTTTGAGGAAACACTGATCTGATGAAGCGTCTGATTCATTCACTGTCGCTCAAACACACAGGGTTTTTTTTATGTTTGTTTGTTTGTTTTGTTGTTTTGTTTTTTTTTCTCTGCAGTTGTTTCACGTCTCATTTTCACTAAATGTTTGAAGAGATTTTCACACACTTTGCTCAAATTGTTTTACACACTCAATTTCAGGCGACCATTCCACACGGTCTGCTCCAGCAGGTGTCACTGTCTGTTGTATTACAGCGTCTTTTCTTTCATTTATTGTCTGACTGAGTGCTTTTATAGACTTCCTGCAGGAGCTCATATTCCTGAGACGTTTCATTTGCTCCTCTCTCCCACTCTGACCTTTCTCCTAAACACACACACACACACACACACACACACATCTCCACGTGTCTGGATAACCAGCTCAACCAATGGGCCTTACTGTGTCCCTGACTGTCTCCCTCTCCTCCCCCCCGACCCCCCCAGAAGAAAACAAAGAGCAGAGTGGTTTCTTCACACCGGAGAACGAGACCCCGGCCCCCGCCTACTGGAGGGAGAGTTCAGGTACAAAGTTTTTTTTCTGCCGTTTGAGTCTGAAAATAATGAAAAATTCAAAGTTTAAAACAGGAATGTCATTTATTTTAATATTGACGTTTAAAGAGAAATCACTGTTGAAGGTCAGGTGGTTTTTATACGGTTGATAAAAGAACATTAAAGAATTTAATTTGTCAAAGTTAAGGCCCAGACTCTGAGTCCATTCTGAGGGTTTGGTTTGTGTTTCTGCTCCTGGTGAAAATGTGTTCAATTAAAATAAACATAATAATATTTCAATCTTTTACTTTCCTTGAAAAATAAAATAAAAAGATAAAAAGATAAAATATCAAATCAAGAGGTTTATAAGTGGTGGACCAATAAGATGATGGTCAGTGTGTTTGGTTGATCTTCACTGTTTTAATTATAGGACTGTTAGTATTTAAAATAATAAATATGTAACTTCATTATCTTTGTCCATGGCTGTGACTAAGAGTTGATTAGTTATTATTATGATTAGTTAGTGACGTATCAACTAATTAACCATCAACATTATTGTAGTTAAATTGACGAACATCCTGAGAGTCTTTAGTTCATTTATTTATTTCTCTCTCACAGACTGATGTTTCCAACAGTTTCTGCATTTTATAAATTTAATGACAGAAAAAATAATCATCCAATTTATTAATTATAATTAATAATCATTAATTAATTACAGGACTTGTTGAATCAGTGCATCAGGAAAAGTCACATTTTCAGTTGTTTTTTTTTTTTCTCTCTTCTGATTAAATCTGGAAAATTTAAAAATATAAAACAAACAAAGATGTGATTTTCCAGAACAAATGACAGTAAATTACAGCGTTTCAAAGAGTGAGGCAGATCTCCGCACACACACACACACACCCACACACACACACACACTCAGATGAAACAGCAGCTCCTGCCACAGCTGCGCTCTTTAGCAGCGCCGCCACCGCGGCTCTTACTCTTAGGGGGGCCGTTATAGTTCAACAAGAAAACATCAGCTCGGAGATAAGCAGCCACGCTGGCAGTCCTCGTCCTGGACCCATATTGGCGTCGACATAATTGCCTTTTTTCTCCTTCCTCAGCACAAAAAAAAACCTTTCCTGTTGGAACAGATCACAGCTTATTGCCTTTTTATATCTGTCAGGAAGACATTAAAAGTGCTTTATGACATCTGTGCCAACATTTATATCTACCCCCCCAACCCTGACACACACACACACACACACCGTAATGATCTCTGCACATAATGTATAATGTATTTCGAAAAATTACACGAAACAAATTAAATGAGACCACCTTTCCCCTGATTGCCAAACGTCTCCCTGGGCGGTGGGAAGCTCTACATGATTAGAAGGCCTGATTCCT